AGTCACGGAGGTTGACAAACCCAACAAGAGACTGAAAATTCACTACATTGGCTACAGTACACGCTTCGATGAGTGGAGACCCTTCGGGGATGGTGAAGCATCTGAATATTTTCCTTCGAAATTGTATAGATTAGTAGGCTGCAACAAAAATTTAAAGGACGGTGTTTAGTGTAAAAACAGCAATCTAACTTGAAAAAAATGTATTTATTCCGACTCTTTCAGAAAATAACTTTACAAATCTTACTTGTTTATCTTGTAAGTAAACGATGGTAAATTAATACCCGAAGTGCTTTCCGAGCTACCCGATTCTTCCCCCACTGCTTTCACGTGGTCACGAAATTCAGTAAGAGACTATTTCTACCCCGTGAGTTTGATATGACGATCGTTTTTCCATCGATCGCAACACGATCTCTGCGCGAGGTTTTTCACTGATTACTCCGCCGGCCTTAACCGATTTCCGTGAGATTTGAGATGTGGGAGTTTCTCCTCAAGCGCTTGGAGGAGCATGAAAGCCTGACTGCTTAAATCGCCCCCGATCGCAGAACTAAGCCGTACTTATCTGCCGCCATGTTTTTGTCCGCCATCTTGCTGACATCAATCTGATCTAGGTTTTTCATTGGTTACTCACCCCGCTTTTAACTGATTGGCGTGAAATTTGAAATGCCGCTGTTTCTCGTCAAGCCCTGGGAATAGTACGAAACCTGCAGTCGTCTACTTAAAATTCCGATAGGCTTCTCTTGGTGGCCAAATCTGAAGTTTCCTGATTTTCTGCGTCATTCTCACGTCATAATTCATGTGATTTATTACTTATGAACTTTAGATTTCCCCAGCGCTGACAACTGTCGATGCGCTCTGTTATCTTAGCGACATGTAGCCCAAGAGTTAAACCCTTATGAGAAATTGCCATCCAAACATGTCTTTACAGGCGCTTTTCCATGTTTCAGAATCTCATTTGCAGAGTTTTTGTGTCCGTTTTTCAACGATTTCTCCACTCGCTTTCAACCGACTTGCGGGAAATTTGAAATGTCGCCGTTTCTCATCAAGCCCTAAGAGAAGTACGAAACTTGGAGTTCTCTACTTAAAATCGCGATAGACTTCTCTTGGTAGCCAAATCTGAATTTTCCTGATTTTCAGCGCCATTAGGGACTTTAGGCAGTCAGGACGGCAACGGAACGGAAGTCGTCGATTAAAAAATGGGTTTCCACTTTTAGTTAGAACTTCGAAAATGGCTGCATGTGTTTACCGTCTCATAGGGCGCCAGACCTCAAACTCAACATAACGCATAAAAGTATCGTTGAGTTCCAAATGTAAATTAAAATAAATTGCCGCCGCGGTTTCGCTTCGCAGACGACGCAAATTTTGGTGATTTCACGTTGTTGTTTTGCAAAGGACGGCTAAGAAATGTACAAAGTTGTTCTGTACATTAGATCTATTGATTTTCTACGTTCTCGTAGCCGTAGCCGTCGTGGTTTGCTTAAAGTCCCTATTTTGACGACGTCAACAACAAACTCTAACTTTGTTTCTCTAAGACTTATCTTAAAAGGTTTCCTAGAGTCAAAGGCAACTAATGGGGAAGAGCTCGTATTAAAAAAAAACTTAAGGCTATGATGGCGGCGCAAGGTTTAGGACGTAGACTGGACCGAAAGACGGCGTATCAATGGTGAAAATCAATCGTCGGAAAACTTCGGTTCCCAACTCGGTTCCTGCAATACGGTTCCCAACTCGGTTCCTAACTCGGTTCCTAACTCGGTTCCTAACTCGGCTCCTAACTCGGTTCCTAACTCGGCTCCTAACTCGGTTCCTAACTCGGTTCCTAACTCGGTTCCTAACTCGGTTCCTAACTCGGTTCCTAACTCGGTTCCTAACTCGGTTCCTAACTCGGTTCCTAACTCGGTTTCTAACTCGGTTCCTAACTCGAAAGATAGGTATCCTCGTTTACATACTTTCCAATGAAATGACAAGCAATAATCCAATAATTAGTAGAATCGTATCACTGAATAAAATCTCGTATTCTTATTGGTTAACGAAGCGAGGTATTTAGCGTGGAACTGCGAGTTGAAAACGAGGCTAAGTGATATTGTTTCGCATCTACGTATAAATAACAGCTATCAGTAATGCTGTTTTCTTTTTCTTTTTTCTTATTTTCACTAAATTATGCGATTCAAGGAAAATCCATTGCTTGACTCTTGAATTTCGCGTTAAATTGGAATTGAAAATCGGTATCGATTGGTGCGATATCGATTTTCGGATGCAATTCTATAGGAAAATTGATTGCCTGACCAGGGAATACCGCGTTAAATTGCACGCGTAAACCGATATCGCACCAATCGATATCGGTTTTCAAGTGCACTTTAACGTGGAATTCACGAGTCAGGTAATCAATTTTCCTTGAATCGCATAACTGAATATTTTCATTCCACTAATTTACTCTTGTTTTTCTCGTTACCATGTTCCCACCAATAACGTAGCTCCATTTTCTGCTTTTAAAGCACACATAACCCACAATTCCTCTATTCGCTCCGACGAAGGGCTAACGCTCGAAACGTCTGCTTTTGTAATCGTTACGGTGGCCAATTTACCATTTCAACTTTGTTGATATATCCAAATTATTTCGTTACTCCCACCGACGCAGCCCCAAACAGTTTCTTTNCAACTTATTGATCGACATTCAGCACTACAAACGTCGCATAAGGAAGATTCCGACCGCATTCCATTCACTCTCACGTTTCACCCTCACAACCACTCAGTTAAATCCATCATTCTTAAAAACTTTAAATTACTTCAAAACGATCCAGAGACAAGCACTATCTTTTCGCAGCCTCCGCTCATTTCATTCAAACGCGACAAAAACATAGGCAATTTTTTGGTCAGAAGTTCTTTTCAGACTAATGACCAACCAGGCACTTTTAAATGCGCTCGTGCACGATGCAAAACGTGTCCTTTCATTCACAACACTGATAAAATATCGGGACCTAAACGATCCATTAAGATCACCGATCACTTCACGTGCACCTCCGCCAATGTAATCTATTGCATAACTTGCACTTATTGCAAAAAGATATACATCGGCGAAACAGGCAGAAGACTAGGTGACCGATTCCGAGAACACCTTCGAGACGTGGAAAGGAATGACAAGGACACATCGAAACCAGTCGCTAGACATTTTAATTTACCTAATCATTCTAAGCAACATATGGCAATCTGCGGTCTTTCCTTACACTTAGGTAGCACGGAAAGCCGTAAAAATCTTGAACAAAAGCTCATCTTTCAAACCGGCAGTCTAAATCCCACGAACGATGAACGAACACGTCCTCGTTGCCGTCGCCGTCGTGGTTGCTTAAGGTCTCTAATTACACGTTAGTTCCCTTTACCTAGGGAACGCATTACAGACCTATCAGAAAGTGTGGAAAGGTTGCACGAAGGGTTGATATTAAAAAGACAGATGGTGAAAGACTCGAGAAAAGCTGAGACTGACACAACTAAGGTCTACCAAAGACTAACGGATGAGATCCAAAATTGATCCGAACTTTCTAATAGACAAAATTCAGGATCCATGCAGGGAGTTTCAATGCGAATGCGCTTAATTCTCTCGCAAAAAGTTCAGTTCTTGTGCATTTTCAGACTAGGTACGAAGATGAAAAAATTATTTATCCTTTCCCTTTGCACAGGTTTTTTAGAGTAACGCTCGATGGCTCATGTCACACAGCATTCGAGACGAACTTGCTAGAGTCGTAATATACATGCACAGCAAGCGTTGGCTTTCTTTGACGATTTTCAGGATCTAAACTACTCCTGCCATAACAAATTGACTTGCTTTTTTTTCGTTTGATTTATGTAACAAGAGATGCTGAAATCGTCAAAAGGAACTCTACGGTCTATGTTTACGTTTACAACACCTTTGGCATACACTAGTTTCCCTATTTTTACCACGCTATGGCAATGACACACATCGAAGCAAAGTTACTAATGATAGCTATAGTGTAACACTAAGACTACTGATGCAATTTTTATAAATCTTTATTTAGAAAAATCACATAAGACCACCGATTTGTCGTCAAATGACCAATACCCATTAATGCCCAATCGACTCACTGATCCATTAATATTGCTCTCTGATGATAAACTGTTATCATCGACTCGTTATGCGGGGACAATCATAAATCCCGCATTATGCATCCTAATGAAAAGCAGCCAAAGTTTGATAAAGAAGTAGCTTCGAAATAAAACTGAAGGTAATTATCTAGTAATTTGGCTTTATTTGAGTTTTGGAGTACTTTTAACATTCGGAACCTTAATAGTGACAAGCATCTAATTTTTCCTTCCAACATTAACACTGAATCAAACATTAGGGAACAGAGAAAAATAAAATGATTACCACCAAAGAAGCGCTAGTTTGTTGAACAAATTTTCCTTGTCAGCATCTTAGGAAATGAAGAGAAAAACAACACGGGAAATACACAACGATGTTAGGGTAAAACTGTTATGCGTTGCTGTTATATTTTACCAGAAGATTACGGTATTCGGCTCGAACTTAGGAAACAGATTTATCTTTGGTAATATGAAAGACACAACGAATCATAAAAAATGGCAGGATCAAAGTGCAATTTCTAAGCAACCTGATTACATATTCTCTCTTAACTATGCTCACATACTCCCTCAGCATCATCACAGGGCTTAAGAGTCATGTAACTAGACCCCGAACTGTTGTTTTCAATATCTTGCATTTCCATTTGATATGGATTACTGCATTAAATGCCATCGTTACCAACGTATGTTAGATTTGAAATTCCCCTCATCTCATGCAAAGGCGTAACCCGTGACTCCTTCCTCATATATCGTTTGGTACCTCTGAAAGTAAAAGGAAATTCGTAAGCGACAACATAGTTAATGCTAAATTCGCGAGTAAAGAAAAAAAGTCGTAAGCGAAGCTCATTAATACAAGTTGAAGTCTATCATAGACGAAAAACTAATCCTGATAAAATTTTAAAAAGCTCAGAGCCCTCTTACCCAGCTCTTTTGTTAATTTACAAAACTTTACACCCCCTATCGTTAGCTTATCACTATTCTGTAATAGTAATAACAATAATAATAATAATATTGATCATGATAAAAATGATAATAATAATGAGGATATGAATTAGTCCCTCAGTTCGTTTTTAGAGGTGTTTTTCACATCTTACACATTTGCTGTTAAAGGCTTTTTGTCGTGGTTGCTATTGTAGTTGTTTTTTTGGTGAAAGGTAAGTTCAAGAACTTAAATAACATAATAGAATAAGCAACGTTTTGGAATTTTAAATTGCAAAAACATGAAGGAGAAATACAGTGGAAGGAAAGTATCATTTTCTCTTCGACATTATGGGAATATCGCTTCCGTCATTCTAGGCAATGACATACATAATTCTGACGATGTGCATTCACTTATAGAAAGCAAACATACTGCACTCTTCAACACCAATTTATTAATCATTGAATACGATGAAAACTCAGTTGAGAGCAGCTGGTCGATCCTTAGGAAATGAAAAGGATTCTCTTTCGATATGAAAGGAAGGGGTAAGATACTATACTTTGAAGAGTAGACGAAACATGCAAAGGTCTTGTGAGAAATTTAAAAAATTAATGACTCATTAAAGTATATGAAATTTTATTTTGGGTGAATCTACTATATGAGAATGCTCTGAGCAGTTATTTTCCTCTGGTGCGATGGCAAACGTAAGCTTAAACATTTTCTGGGACACATTCAAATGGAAGATCTATAGTATGATATATATGTATACTTCTAATGCCTATCTACTGTTTCAGATTTGTGTTCTTCACATATCTTGTGAAAAGAAAAACACCTAACATACGTGTCTCTTTTGAGTAAAAGAATGCAATGATGAAAACAAATTATCATAATTACCGTTATAGATATGCATTTGATTGTGAATATGCAACTCCATTGGTCTTCCCATACCGTGAACCAACACGTCACTCACATTGGATGTCATGTTATACGTGTGAACACTCTGGCCATTCCAGTCAGACCAGTAAAGAACATGATCATCTAGAGCCAATCCAAATGGGTGTAGGTTACTGGGTGATAAATCCAATACAACAACGCGGTTATTTCCTTGGAGATCTACCCGTTCGATCTTATCAAGTTTTGCGTCGCACCAGTACAGGAGTCTATTCTGAAAATCCATTGCGAGTGAGTTCACCCATACGAGTCCAGAACTGACAAGAACCGTTCTGTCAGAACCGTCCATATTCGCTTGTTGAATCTTTGGAGATGTTCCCCAGTCACTCCAATACAATTTCCTGAAATGAGAAGTTTCTTTTAGTAAGAATGTTGAAATATTTATTGTCTTCACTTCTAAAAAATAAATCAGCGATTTGTTTCGTAATACACACAATACGCATCACAGGGGAACTAAGTGTGAGTGCTGCAAATGTCATTCACTGCTGCAAGAGTCTTTACATACGAGTGCTTTATAAATCAATTATTCAGTGCATTTCAGGGGAGGACATTACGCAGCACTTGGTAATAAACCTCATTTATAGTTTCCAGAATTTATTACCTTTCCTGAATATGAAGCACTATGGCTCTTGGCTTTTCTATACTTGATGAAATAAGAGCCTTCCTATACGAACCATCCAGCCAGGCAACTTCAATTGTACGTGTTTCAACATCAGTCCAATAAAGATTTCTCCCAACAAAGTCCACGGCTATTCCATCAGGAGTATCCACGTTGATGTAAGAAATTATTTCTACGGAAGACCCGTTAGGAAATGCCCTTGCCACAAGTTTTAAAGTCACATCAGTCCAGTAAATTTTATCTTCAACGGGATCATAATCCACCGCCACTGGTCTGGAGATGTTTTTTGTGATTTTTAGTGGATAACAAGGTTTCTCCGGCTTTTTAAGAGGGATCTTGTAGATTTCCCCAGAGTCCGCTTCAGCAAAGATCAGAAATTTTTCAGAACTCATCATGTGGAACAAATCTGGAGATGAAAGGTCATCATGTGAAAGAGCAAGTTTTCAACATAGAATGTTTCAATGTTAGGACTGAACGAAGAGCAACTCTTACTGATTATCCGTGAAAAATTATTTAGCCCACAATGTATAATATCCTTTATAGAGGCAATTGAGAACGAATAGCTATGCGTTGACCTAGCACTCTTCAAATCTTCTACGTACCACTTTGTGTTCATGGATTGTTTAACAGAAGGGTTTATGGAATGGTCAAGTGGTTTCTTACCATAGTCACAGTTTCTTCCGTCAGGCTTGAGCATCATTCCATTTGGACATGTGCATTGATACTCTCCTGGCCTCAGGAGACACAAATCACTGCAGTTACCATTGTTTAGAGCACAATAATGAGAGCCTTTCCAAGAGAGTAAAATATGTAAAGTTAGTCAAATGGAAACTAGAGAAGGCCTTATATCCGTAGAGTAGATTTCTTTAAAGAAAGATATAGCAATAACCACTTTGCACCTAAGTCCAAGGAAGAATCAAATACATGAATATCCATTGGTTTTTGAAGGCCTGTAACTACAACCTGCTGGTTTCTACTGGTCATTTTAAGACTTAAAACGCTCTTTTTGGCCCAGTCAGTCCAGTACAACACGTTTTGGTACAAGGCCAGGCCAAAGGGATGGATATCAGCTGCAGATGATAATATAATCTGTCTGCTTCCTCCATCAAGGTCAGACATCTCTATGGTGTCCAGTTTTGCATCAGCCCAAAACAGACGGTTTGTAGCCTGGTCAACAGTAAGTCCGTTTGGCCAGAATAAATTTCCAGTGACAATCGATCGTCTTCCTGATCCGTCCATTCCAGCTTTCTCTATTTTCGGATTGGCACCCCAGTCAGTCCAGTACATTGTCCTAATTAATCAAATTAAGAACAAATAATGAATAAAAAAAGAAAAATAAGAAGAGTAAGGGCATGCAACTAGGAATTTAAGAAAATATACCCAAGACAAGATTCATATATAATTATATCAAAAGGGCTCTGTGTATTTCGATCTGCAGTTCGTAGTTTGTTCATAGCCACAGCCGGGATTTGAGCTTTTTTACAGCCTGTCTAGTTTTACCACTCTTTCTTATCAATATCATCATAACTGACTTGAGCATTTCACAGCATTCCTCGTCTCACCAGTCTTTCTTATTGATATCATCGTAGCTGATTTACGTCAATTGATAATAAGCTGTGAAATATGAAACGTCCTATCTGTAATGCTATTATGATAGCACTGTTTAATCAGGTTAGTTAGAAACTGTTCAATCAGCTCCTTATATATATATACGAGTGGCATGGGGCGCGTTAATTTAATCTTATAAACTCTTTGAAGCGCTTGAACAGTTTCCGGTTTCAGTTGCCACCTTTAATTTTTTATGGATGTCAGATCTTTATTGATTTATTCTTTATTCCACCTTTTCTTCCATCTTTTCGAATACTATCGAGCTGTAGCGATATAACAACAGGTAGTAATATTTTGCATCTCGACCTACCCATTTCTCTCGTCGAGTATTATGGCTCTAGGTTCGTCAAGTCCATCTTTGATGAGTAGTTTCCTTCTTGTACCATCAAGGCTACCTACTTCGATCCTGTTCGTTCCTGTATCAGTCCAATAAATGATTCGTGACACATGACTGATTACTAACCCTTCAGGAGTGAGGACGTTACTGCGAAACAGAATCTTTACGCCGGTTACATTAAAAAATGCGCTGATGATGAGACCTTGAGCCGTGTCAGACCAGTACACACGATCCTCAATAGAGTCAAAGTCTAATGCAATGGGACGCTGTTTTCCAAGGTGTCGGAACAAAATTTGAGCAACGCAATAGTCAACGTCCAGCGAAATTAAATTCGTAGCATTAGCATCAGCGTCAGCAAAAAGAAGAAAGATTTTTACTTCTGCAATGAGAGTTAAAAAAATTGAATTAAGTCAAGGGAAACAAGCTCTAACGAGCAGAAGCTTGAAAAAAAAAGACAGCTTTAAAGTCCAAGTTTAAGTTTCTAGCTGCGCACAGATAATGGGGACAGCCAGATCAAGAAGAGGAAATTAGGAAAATGTAAGCAGCTAATTTTCTATAGGTATATAATGAAAGTTAATCGAATTTAGTTAGATAAATAAAGTTTTGGTCTGCTTTTACTTGGTGGTGTTCAAGTTTCCTTACTAAGACATTATTTCAGGAATCGAGGTCCAGTAGGACATGCTACTCTAAACAGCGAAAATCCTTACTGTCTTCACACATCTTCCCATCTTTCTTCACTGTCAATCCAGTAGGGCAAAGACATTCATATCCAGTTGTTTTCGGGACACAAAAATCACCACATCCTCCATTGGCTTCAGAACAGCCACTTACCTCTGGAATATCAGACAAGCAGCAAAGGATAAATACGTTAATACATATTTTATTTACACCTTAAGAATTGTAATAACAGCTACAACGTATGTGAAACTTAACTAATATTTTAGCATAGATTAATTATGACAGGTATGTCCCAGGAACTCCCGATATTATTTCATTTCCAAACAAGGGATTAATAAAGAGATTGCATGGAAATACATTTAAATACATGCTGTTTTCCCTTGAAAGTTCGCTCGGCTTTCTTTACCGATCAAATTAAAAATCGAAGCCAAAATGAACTTAATTCAATCATATTTTTCGTCCTTGAGTTACTTGTATTCATTACATACCGTCAGAGGCCTGATGAGCAATATGCTTGTATTTATTAAATTTGTTACCTGCTTGCAATTACTTTAGCTATATCCTCATCTTCCTATGCCATTAGCGAAGGTTGGGTTCCAAGGGAATCAATTGAAAATTGCAATTAAACTCAGTCATGTTACACCCTGTAAAACTCGTTCGCTTGTATACTTGATAACAATACGCATAGTAGGAAATACCTGAGGGTTGCCGAGTGCTGTCATAGGGAACAATACCCATAGGCCGTCCACCATTAATGCTATGACTACGAAGGACTTCTCCGCTAGAGGCATCTAATTGGTGGAACTCTTAAGTCGAGGCCCAGTCTGTGAAAAACAAGAACGGAGGAACCAGTGCCACACCAAAGGGATGTAGGCCATGGTACAGGAGGACAACCTTTCTGTTGTTGCCATTGTAATCGACTGACTCAATTTTATCCAATCCAGCATCCACCCAGTAGATCCGTTTGTTACCCTCGTCAAGGTCAATGCCATTCGGCCAATGAAGATTTGTCGTTACGATGGCAAGTCTTTGACTTCCACTTAACGATGCCCTTTCAATTTTTGGTGAATTTCCCCAATCAGTCCAGAACATATATCTGCCAGATTTGGAAAATTCAGAGAGTTTTTGTCACTCGGTCTTATATATTGAAAATATTACTCTGCTACTAGTGATGTAGCTATCTCATACAGGCGTTTGATCATCCAGGAAAGCATCTTAAAAATTTTCAGCAACAGTGACTTTACGATGAAAATGGCTTTCTCTCGGGTCTAGGGTCACCTTCTTTACATAACCAACGGAAGGAAATTGTCTGCAGGGGGACACAAATGGATTCAAGGTATAATTGTGTGTTGTTTAGGAACAGTCTGGAAATCATGTGTAGATAACGAAACAAAACAAAAATACTCCAAAAGCGGTAACGCTCATCCAAACAATAAAAACATTGAAGACATTTTATGTTTAACAATTCCAAGGAACAATGACTGAGTACAAAATAAGTATGTCATTCAAAAACTTTTACAGGAATGAAAGTCCTCATCTTAGTCATTAGTCATCAGTTTAAGTCAAACTCACCCATTGTCAAGATCTAAAGCTATTGCTCTAGGCTCTTCAAGTCTAGAGGAAATAATCGCACGCTGGTTATGACCATTCAGGTCGGATATTGATATCCTATCATTAGTTGTATCAGTCCAGTACAATTCTGATGTCCTCCATTCCACTGCTAACCCATCACAAACACCAATGCCACTAATAATTGTTATGGTACTGTCGGACTGAAAGTGGAGACGTTTAATGTTACGTTCTGTTACGTCACTCCAAAAAATGTAGCCCAGACTGAAATGGACATCTATGGCTACAGCTCTTGACAGACCAGAAACAACGGAGTTGACGACTGCAGTTGTGTAGTCCACGGCAACAATGTCGGACGTATTGGCTACCAGCAGACATGGAGGAGTACATAGGGTAGCTATGAACACACAGAAAAAAGTCTGCTTCAGGAAATTTGGGTAGCAAGTCATAATCCTTGGACAAATATTTATTCACGAATCAATATTAAACATCCTGTGAAATGAGCTAGCCTTAATTAATTCAATCTTACTGTTCAGTGATGTACAAATGTATGTGAGTTTTGTCTACAGTGACTCCGCTGTGAGGAAAATATAAAGTATTAAGTCGCACAATAACGCAATCAATTGATTATTCGTTTGCTAATTTTATTAAAACATTAACTGGCAGATACAAAACTGGAGTGGTTTGACCAAGCGTTCTTGAAAATGGTGAAAAATGTGAGATTAGAAGAATACTTTCGCGAAAGGGCATTTTCTTTTCTATTCAGGTCATTATTAGGAAGATATTTTGAAACTCGACGACATAGATGACAAAATTACGCATTTGATTTTTTTTTCTTTACGATCAGCTTTGTGAGAGGTATGCAGCAAAGAATAGAAAATGTCTAATAATTTCTTTGGAGTTCATTAAGACTTGATCAGGACGGAATGAGAAAGTGATCTGTTTAGGGGCTTGATCTTCTTTTCCCCTTAATGAAAAGACACATTTTGCTTCTTTTCCTTTTTTTCTTAGTTGTATGTTCTCGAGCAGTTTCTATAGACTGCTACTTTGATTTCCAAAGGAAATGGCCTAAGATAGAGAGCCAGCGTCTCGAAATTTTTCACAAAAAGCGACTTTTCTCGCTTGACATTTGTTTTATAGTAGAAGCACGTTTCCTGACTCCTTCTGCTATCTTCCTTTCTTATATTGGCCTCTAGGCTTTTCCAACTGTGTTAAGCAATGAGCCGTGACATCTGTGTAACTTCAAGTGTCAATTATATTGGTCGTGATCTATATATAGAGTTTTTAAGTTCTGAAGCTTTCCCTCTCATTTTCAATAGCGATTGTAATGGAATTATTTTGTTCTCATCACCTTGGCTAAGGTGATGAGATCAAAATCTCATCACCTTAGGCAATGTGATCACCTCAATCCCGTTTATTTGGATTAGGCATGTTTCTTATATTAATGTGATCGCAAAAAAGGAAACGTTCACTTTGAGACGTGTTAACGCTTATGAATAATCGTCTACGTCAAGGCAACGTTGAAGTTTTGCTTGAAAGAAAGTTCTCGAAAATTTTGGTCAAAGCTACAGAATCAATGATTAAGCTTTATTTTGAGTTGATGAGAATGGTTTTCTACAATGATTAATCTTAATGGAAAAGGTTTCGAGAAAATGATGGCCTTAATTGAAAATAAAAACAAAGCTTTATTGCTTTTCAATATCATAGACGCAGTAGCCCAAGGTCATATCGATCTTACCTTAGACTGTTTATAGGTGAACATATTGTTATTAGCAGATGATTTAGATAAAACCAAACCATAGTTATTTAGCCATTCCCACAAATGAAGTATTGCCAGAATAACGACTGATTTCCTTTGCGTCCTGTAAGACATGTAATTATAATTCATTATAGAAATCTAGTCAGTTTATACCAAGATATAATGAACTGTTTATATCCTAGATACAATGAATATATGAAGCTCATATATTTTGAACTGCGGTATTAAATATTACGAATCAACTTAACGGCCTGCTCCCAGCTGGCTTGTTAGCTCAATTGGTAGAGCGCTGCACTAGTATCGCAGAGGTCAGTGGTTCGAATCCCGTACAGGCCTGATTTTTTTCAGGTCGCATAAATAGCGCTATCAACTGGGAAGGATCGTGCATCATACGTAAAATGCTCTATTGTCGGTCAATATTCTCTCAGTATTGGACCGGGCACTGTCCCGAATGGTCCCGAATGATACCGCACTTGTGTCCCTTTGAACTTCAGTCGTGTAATAAATCTCTTTTTAACGAAGCTTGCTCGGGACCGTATTGGAAGAAAATCGGCCCTCGGTCTTTTTTGTACGGACCTCGCTTCGCTCGGTCCGTACTGTCAAGACTTCGGGCCGATATTCTCCCGGTACGNTATTTAATACCGCAGTTCAAAATATATGAACTTCATATATTCATTGTATCTGATTTATCATCACGGGTTTATTACGAATCAACTTAACGGCCTGCTCCCAGTTGGCTTGTTAGCTCAATTGGTAGAGCGCTGCACTAGTATCGCAGAGGTCAGTGGTTCGAATCCCGTACAGGCCTGATTTTTTTCAGGTCTGATTTTCGCTATTGCATAAATAGCGCTATCTACTGCGAAGGATCGTGCATCATACGTATTTAATACCGCAGTTCAAAATATATGAACTTCATATATTCATTGTATCTGATTTATCATCACGGGTTTATTACGAATCAACTTAACGGCCTGCTCCCAGTTGGCTTGTTAGCTCAATTGGTAGAGCGCTGCACTAGTATCGCAGAGGTCAGTGGTTCGAATCCCGTACAGGCCTGATTTTTTTCAGGTCTGATTTTCGCTATTGCATAAATAGCGCTATCTACTGTGAAGGATCGTGCATCATACGTGTTTATATCCTCTTGTTTATACGCAACTCGTTATTAACTCTCGTCCTCATTTTCTAAATCTCTGCTTATTTTAGGGATTTCATCTTTGTTTGAAAGATCTTTTATCAGGTCGTTAGACCTCGCGTTTAATACAACGCTTTATATTCACTTGTTTAACACTATTTGGAGGACCAGTGATTCTAATAATCGCGCGTGCTCGAATTAGCATCTAGCGCTTCAAATGAGAGCCACCCTACCATCTAAAGCTAAAAGCGCTGACCAAGTTCCGTTTTCATACGTGGCTTCAACAAAAATATGCTTTGATGACTATAGCATGGCATAAAACCTGATAAATGCCTCATCATGAAGCAACCCACTTCAAACCGGTCCTATCTTGCTCTCCTTCCACTCGTTCAGAAAAAGAAACAAAACAAAACTGCATAAGCTTCCATGATGTACACAATCAATGGAGCAAACAATGAAACGGAATGCTAAGTTCTTAAAAGTCTTCAGTATTTTGTGGTGTCGAGCGTTTTAGAGCGTCTCCAAGGCTTTGTGCACAATTTAATCTTTAGCATTATTCTATTATTAAGCGTCAAGTTTTTCTGAGAAACGAAGGAAGTTTCGTTTCCGTTTCGGTTTCATTTGCACAAAGATCTGGCATGCGTCAGTCTGTCATTATCAGGGGCAATTATTGATCCGCCTTTTAATAATTAGTAATTATCAGGCTAACAGAAATTATAAATTATTCATCCGCCTTTTAAAGAACAACGGCGTGGGTATAGGGTTTGCAAAATCTCCCTTCGATATGGAAATACAGCCAAAAATCTACAAATGACAATCATTGCCCAGCATAGTTGCAGCAGCGTATAAAGGTAAGATTCCAGCCCTGTAATACTTCGAATCCTTGTAATAAGATCAATCTACAATCAAAATTAATTTACCTCTGACCACTGCAACACTTTTCTTGTGAATCGAAGCCCACAGTAATATCGAAAAAATCCGCCAAATCACCTTCATAACTATGATTCCCTTTTCTGCTGAAGTGATTATAATGATAGAATAAAACTATGACGATCGGAAGTCTATTAGGTAATAATGGTACACGGTCGGTTTTAAATGCGCCCCTTTCAAAACTTACCAACTGAAGTTACCAAATGAACGAACAAAGCAACAAACGTTCTCTCTGCATGTGAAATTCGAGTTCGGGTCACACAACACTTGCTTGCAGGTTCACTCCTTACAACTTTATTGCATATAAGTAATGTTCGTTTGAACGGCATAGAGGCCCAAACTTTTAGAAGCTGGATAACGTGCCATTTTTAAAAGTACCGAACACGCAAAGCAACAAACGTTTTCCCTGCAT